GAATCATTCAGGACCTCTCATGTATAAAAATCAGAGAATTTCTCATGTTTATTCACATAACCATGAAACAAAGAAGTTGCTTCTCAAGATACTATTTTAAGGTATGTTTTCAGTGATTCAACTTGAAACTTCTGTTTAAGAGCAGACATTGGGTTTTGTTTCCTTGTTACCCAAAACGATGACCATATAAAACTATTACAACAAAAAAGGGCAGTAACTGCCTGTTTTCCAGATTTTTTTCCCACTCAATTCCTCTTTTACCCAGCACACTGGTTCCCTTTTACCAGCACACACAAGAAAATGAAACTTTTTGGGGGTTTTTTATCTGCTCTATCAGGGATAGGCAATTCAATCCCAACATGGCAACAAGCATTTGTGAAAAGTTAACAAAACTGCTTTCATTTCAAGGTTAGGCAACATAACAGCCCGGTGACAGGAACTATAATGAGGAGAATAAATCCACTATTATAAGAAATATGGCTATTTCTGTCAAGAGGAACAAACACATTTTGCAAAGTACTCAGGTCTCTGAAACAAATATTTTTACCACTGCATTTACAGTGTTTTATCTTTGGGAAAATCAATTCCAGAACGATGCTGACCTCCTTTTCCAAAAGCTTTTGGACTTGCCAATTAAAATGTGATGTAAATGTTAAATGTGCTGCCACACTGCTCCCCTCAAACTCTTTGACACCAGAGTTTTAACCACACTTTTCCATCTTGTGGTATGCAGTTTAAATAGGCTGAGAAGAAARGACTGTGTATATGTTGGTGGGATGGGAACTTTGGAGTTCATCTACCCAAACCTCATACTCAGTGGGTTACATTAAAATTCAATGCTACGAGGAAGGAAACTTTTCTGATGTAAATGCATGCTTACTTAGCTCATTCCTATGAGTGCTTCCAGCAAAAACAGTCCACTTTCTGCAGGAAAAGGSCTTGCAAGAGCAAAATGAGATGTGTTGACCTTCTTCTGAGGCTTTCTTTAAAGAAAAAAAACCTTGCAAACAACTTCAGTGGCTTCCTGAGACAGCAGCAGTCAAGGGCATACAGTCACAACCTAATAAAGAACTATAGGGGCTAAAATGTCACAACAGGAAAGGAAGAGTAAATATTGAAGGTTCAATAATGAAAACCAACTAAGACACATCAATTTTAAACTGGGAAATATGTTAAATATAGATGCAGAGTAAAACCCTAGGGAAAAAAAACTGTATAAGGATGTTCACAATAAAAACAGATTAAATATGACTAAAACAGATTAAATTCAAATTAAAGCTCATTTTAAATACTGATTCAATGGACTGCTTTCTTCCCATAAGAAATAAATGGACTAGAGGTCTTCCTGTAAGTGAGAGGGAAATGAATGCACTGTAAATACTCAGGGTGACCAGGTTACAAGGTAAGGGAGAAAGGAAAAGAGGAAGCCTACGAGCTGCAGATGTTTACATGGGGAATATTCCCCATCCCACTCAAAAGCCTGCATGCAGTGGGAAAAGCCTCAGGGCTCTTGGCTGGGTCAGGGCTCTGCCTACAGGCAACACAGGGAGAGCCTGAAAAAAGCAAAAACTGAGAGAAAAGAAGCATGTTTTCTTTGCAGTCTCCATGATCAGTTTAGAAATCCATCCCTCATGTCCAAYTTGTAATGCTGTTACCTACTTGTGAGTGCTCCAGTTAAGTGCTCCCTACRATGCCAATGCTAAAGGTCAGCAGGGGGACTATGAGCATGAGCCTTGCTTCTGGGTGAAACACATTCCATTTTGGAAACCCACACTGTTACAACTGGTACTTATTTCATCCATYCCTCAAAACTGAAATGAGGATTCTCTAATAACAAGGATTATAGTTTCAGATGAATGACTGTATTTTCCTGAGAAAAACCTGCAGGTTATCTGTAAAATAAATAAATAAATCAGAAATATGTATTAAATTATTAATTAATCAGAATTATATACTCTATTAAAAGAAATAAATACATCAAATTAGCAGTAGCACAGGTTACACATGTGCCTGTGGAGGAGAAATAGATATTTTGCTCTCTTTGATGTCAAAGCATGYGCTCCCAACAAAACCCTATGTCTGTGTGTCCTGTCAGAACACGTCTCCTTTCTCTAATTTTGAATGGATGATCAGAGGCCAAGCATTTTCCAAGGACTTATTTTTCACCAAGGGCTACCTGAAGTGTGCATTGCACATGGGAAAATTCAGGAATTGCAGTTCTGTCATAGAGATGGTGGTGAAATGTGAGGGAGAAAGCATCAATGGCCAGGAAGCACTGCATGATGTAGTGGTAAAGGAAGCCTCATCCCAGTTTTCTCTCACTGTCTAACTCAGGAATAACGAGAACAGCACACACGATTGCTGGACAGCCACTGCTGGACAGTGCTGATCCTCTCATCTACAGTTAGTGGATCCTAACAATTGTTAGAGGAATACAGGCAGCCACTTTGGAAACAGGTGATGGCAGCAGCATCATCCCACYAGTCAGCCAAGACACATCTCCAGAGGAGATCAACCACAGAGACTGCTGGGACCAGGGCACAGGCCCTCCTGTGTGTCTTGTCACACCAGACACCTGCTCAGATGGCAGTGCCATCATCCAGCTGCTGTCATGGCCCCTGCCATCACTGTGGGAAGGGTCTGGAAGAGAAAGCGGAAAAGGGCTCCTTTCCCATCAGGGAAAGCTCACACAAGCCTTTGAATAAGATGGTAGTTTAAGTGCAGCTCTTGTAATTATCTTTTATGCTGAAACAAAAGAAGACAGGCTTTGATCTTGCAAACACAAAGGACACCTTATTCCTCTCATCTGAAATGAAAAAAAAACCCAGTCCCACTGAAGCCTGGAAACATTTCGCCAGAAATGCTCCCTATAATAGCAGCATTTCATCCTCCTTGTAAAATATAGGATGTGTTTATTTAAAATATAAAATACAGTGAAACTTCCTCAAGAAAGGAAGCCTAAGTCACACTCTTGTATTTGATTCCACATTAATCTCCAAGGGAAGTCTGTAACCCAGTATTTAACAGTCAATGGCAGGAGCACATACGAAGTGTTTCAGTAGGAAGATTCTGGTACCCTTTGGGTATCCTCCTGGCTGTCACCTTCAATGCATGCACCTACCTGAGAGCGGGCACTCAGGAGTGTGCCTGGAGCACTCAGGAGGATGCCTGAGGCACTCAGGAGCATGTCTGGGCTCCCAGGTTTGGATGCTCACTTTTGCTGTACCCTAACTCCAAACCCAAAGGCAAACATTAACACCCCATTCCATCTACCAGAGACAGGGGTGCCAGRATGGACAATAAGGTGTCCCACCAGCCCCAAGCACCACACAGGGGAGGGCAGCTCCACAGTGCAGACACCACCATTGCTACTCCTGCCCAAAAGAGCTCACAGCCCAACGGGGAAGAGCTCGTGGTTCCACTTGACACACCAATGTTGTTTGTKGTGACGTTTTGCTTTCGATCTCACACTGCTAAGCACAAAAGCCAATGATGAAATAAATCACTCGGGCACTGTATTGATTCTTCAATGACGATTACATAAAGAAAMATGTAAATGCTTTGGYGYGTTAAATAATCCCTCTCTGRTATCCATTATGCATGTTTCAGCCAWACYTTTAATTTAATTTACACGGCTTCTTTTGAGGAGAGACATCCGAATTTTTCCCTCAGCCTATTCCACTCACTTTACTCAGTGGTGTACAAGCAAAGGAAGAAGAGAAGCTGAGGGAATAGAGGGAAATTGATTGCTGCCAGCCTGGTAGGGAAACGCTAACCTTGCAGGTAGGAGACAAACAGCAGAGTCATCTGCATCATGCAAACCAGGTTCTTCATTTCCATGCTGAGGCACAGGAAATGCCCTTCAGAAATTTTCAAAACTATTACAGCTAAAAAGAAGTTGTCTTTAGTGGGCAAAAATGAATTTAAAAAAAAAAAGTACTGAGATAAATGTGTCAGCTAAGTTTTTGACAGAGAAAACTATTCTGGGTGGCCAGTGTTCACATAACACAGAGGCAGACTACTCATCAGTCCCTAAAAGCAACCTCAAGAGAAYATTGTCAGTAACCAGAGATGCTGAAACTGCCTCCAAGTCAGTATCCCACCCCACCCTGTCCTATCCCATATTTGTAAGTCACTCTCAAAAGACTTTGTACCTAGATAAAATTTCAATCACACGGGATCAAATGGGGCTTGCTCGAATCAGGACTGCGGTGCCGGGCCTATTTCTCAAAGTAAYTATATTGCCGAGATTAATTTGAAAAGGTTTGGCTTAGCTCGACCCACTTTGCACGAAGAAGCAGCTTTACACCTGCCACCGCATGCAGCAGAGTCAGCGGCACTGCTGTGCTGGGGCAGAGTGTGACACCGACAGCAGAGCCCCGCTTCCACCCCTGGGATGCTGCCGCTGCCCGGGCACGGCCCCGCACCGCGCCCGCCGCCTCCGCGCCCCGTGCGACCCCCGGCCGGGCCCCGCCGGCACTCCCGCGCCGCTCCCCGCAGCCGGCAGGGCATCCCGGGATTCCCGCACCGTTCCTGCACCAGCAGGGTCATCCCGGGATTCCCGCACCGCTCCCCGCAGCCGGCAGGGCATCCCGGGATTCCCGCACCGCTCCCGCATCAGCAGGGTCATCCCGGGATTCCCGCACCGCTCCCGCACCAGCAGGGCATCCCGGGATTCGCGCACCACTCCCGTCGATCCCGCAACCAGCAGGGTCATCCCGGGATTCCCGCACCGCTCCCGTCGGTCCCGCAGCCGGCAGTCACCGCCCCTTCCCCGAGCGAGCGGTAGCTGCTCCCGGGGGAGTCCGCTTAATAGTAACTTTCATTTTAATCATTTTTCTCGTGAGCACCGAGGGGGAAATAATAATAGTAACAATAATAGCAATAATAACGATAATAGTAATAATAATAATAATGCCAAGGACCACCATCACCACCTCCTCCATCCACAGCCACTATTAGAGGATAGTTACCAGCGAGGAGCGGCGCAGCAACAGGCGATGCCGGGCCGGGGGCGGGCGCGCTCCCGCAGCCGCAGCCCCTCCGCCCGCTCCCACCGGCACCGCCGCCCCTGCCCCGCCCCTGCCCCGCCCCGCCCCTGCGGACACGCCCCGGACACGCCCCGGACACGCCCCTTCACCGGGACTCGTCCCCACGGCCAGCCTGGCGTGTGACACTGGGCAGTCGCTGCGTTGCCCGGTAAAACACATTTTTAAAGGGTACGTTTATAATATCGAGTTCTGCTCTGAGCTGAACAGAACAGGTGCTTTTGTCTCATCAGTATTAGCCCGGTTTTGACACTGTGCCGCAGAAAGTTCCTGGTACTTGTCCATGGTTAGAGTAGAATACAAGCGTATGCAGGTTTCTCTTGATCCACGGATGTTTACTGGGAATTGTTTCCCCCCTTCTTCAGACCCTGACTTTGCTCCTCTCCCATAGTAAGGAGCAACCCAGCAGTGTTCATCACAGAAATATCCTTCCTTTTCTCCCACATCCTTCACCACACTAAATTTCCTCACTACCAGATTTTTGTTCTCCCTTCTGCAGCASTGATGAGTCTTGCTGGCTCAGCTGCCTTCAGCTAAATTGCATCTATGGTAGTGACTGCAGCCTTGCTTTTGTGGCCCCAAGGTCGAGGGTTTATCACCCGTATGGGCCCCTTCCAACTCAGAATAATTTCTGTGATTCTCTTCTGAGTTCATTACAATTTTACCTAAAATCTCACCAAATATAATGGTCAGTTTTATCTCATAAGAAAATCATGTTCCTTCTCCCTTTGACATGCTTTTATCATTTCTGTCTCTAATAGCTTGAGCATCTCAGCTTTTCTTCCCTGCAGAAGCACTAGGGTTTCTTCTCTGCATTGCATTTGCTCCACTGCCTCCATGGAGTCTCCTGCTTTTCTTCTCTCAACCCCACTCACCTCTGCAAMATCAGGTTTCCTCTTGTCCTTTCACCTCCTTCTCTGTCTCTGAGCCAGCTGAATATGCCATGTACACTTACTTCAGGAATTCTTCCACTCCACTTCCATGCTAGACCCTCATTTCTTTCCAGTCTGTGCTTCCTCCTGAAATTTTTCAGGCAGTGCTCCTCAGGACATTGATAAATTCTTAACCATAYCTGCAACCATTTCTCACCATCTTTGATCTGTCAGCCAATTTCAACACAGGTTACTGACAAATGAGAGGAAACAAGCACACCTATCATTAGATGTGTGCCCTAATCGGGTCTGCACTCTGTGTCTTGTTTTTTATCAGTRTTGGAAGGAGGCCCAGATATTCCCAGAAGGTTGTGGGTCTCCATCCTTGCCTACGGCTCTGAGTAATGTGCTCAGAGCTTACAGTCCACCCTGCTGTGAGGGGGATCTTGGATTAGAGACCTCCTGAAGCACCTTCCAAGCTGAATTGCTCCCTGTGCAATATCCATGTAGCRGGGATCAGAACCATTATCCTGAAGTGGCAAAGACTGGAATGCTAAACTGGAGTGGGTTTAGTATGAAATAATTATAGAGTGTTTTGTTCCTGTTCCTCAAATTCAACTTCTTTTGCTTTTAAAGAGGTCTTGCATTGGGGGACAGAGGAGAGTTATTGTTGTTATTGGGTTGTTTGGTGTTTGTTGGTTTGAGGKTTTTTTTAAATATTATATATTTTTTCTCCCGTGCTCCCAGTCTGTTGCAAGAGTACTGTCCCCAGCCTCTGGTTAACATCAGGAACCATTTTTRTGTTGTGGTACCTCATCTTGTTGCAAGGTTTGTCCATTTATTCAAACTCAGCATGTCTATAATTAAACTCCAGGCTTCCTTTAAAAACTTCCCATTTCTTCCTTTCTCCAGCTCCTTGTTTAAGAGCCATTCAAGCCCAATAGCTAAGTGTCAAGTCTGCACTCATTACTGCTTATTTGCTTCAGGACTATCTTTTTTCTTTTCATCACAGTATTTTTTTTTCTTTCCATCACCGTTTTATATAATGCTGCACTAGATTTAAATTAATCTTGTCCACGTGCAAAATTGCACCAAAGTCTCAAGTTCATCTACTTTCAAATCAAATTACTGGAGGAAAACAATTGCCTAGAGGTGTCCTTGCTTACAGGTGTATGTGACAGTTTTCTTAATCTCTGTAAATCTTTCTGTAAGGCTTTAGCTTCCTGATGGCACTTTCAGTTTCTCTTCAAAGTCACTTTCATCAGTGCCTTCCCTCCTGTGTTTTCCTTCTGATTTCCAGTTCTTTAGGACTGAGTCTTTATACTGCACGATGTCTAAGATGTTTACAGCCCTACAGGAAAAAAAATAGGCAACAAAATCTGCAATTTAGGATAGAGATAATCTTTTAAATTACAGTGACTCAAAGATTTGCTAAAATTGGCTACTAATAAGAGGATTTTTGAAACCAAATTGGAGATTCTTTGATTGAAATCAGTGTCATTGTATGCATTCATAAACTAATAGGAAACTAGAAAGAAGCATAAAATTACTGCTTGCAGATTCCGCCTTTTCTCAGGGTTTATAGTCACTCTTATTAAATCTGTTTATTCAGCAGAAAACTGTTTCTGGGAGCTTTTGCAATGGCTGACATGGGACCTTTCTCTATTTTACTGTTCCACCTTTGGATCAAAGATTAAAAATTCTAATTAAAAACTCCTCACTTTTTGTGACAGACATTTTATAATCATGGAATTATAAATCATAGAACTATAGAATATCCTGAGTTGGAAGGGACACACAAGGATCATCACAGTCTAACTCATGGTGCTGCACAGGACCACCTCAAATGCTGAAAAACATTCTTTATTGCAAGCATTTAATATTAATAGAATAGGTTTGGGGTTTCTTTTAAATTAATGTCACTGATTTATTTCCTGAAACACCAATAATAACTAAAAAAACTGTTGAATCAGCCACTAAGAGAACAAATACCCTTTTTGGCCACTTGTCATGTGTTATGACTCTTTTACCACCTGCTTTATCTAAGCAGACATTCATAGCTCAGCACCTTAAACTAGAGATGATTATTTCTTTTGTTTTGCATTGTGAGATTTTTATTATTTTTTAAATATCTTCATTCATCTGTCACAAACAAGGGCTGAGGAGGAAATGGTTGAGCTGCTAAACTTCTCCATAGACCTTGGCTGTCTAAACTGTCTACACCAAGGGAGGATGTGGACAAAGGTAAACTGCACACAGACAGTTTCTGTGGTGCACAGTAACAGATTCCATGTGTTCTCTAAAATTAACACAAAAGGAGATCGATTGGCAGCTCAGCTACCAGTGCAAAGCAGTGTGAGTGAGCTGCAGTGTGACCCACATGTCCTGCATCTCTTTGGGAGGCTCTTCATGTAAATCGGGGAAGAGTCTTCCTGGCAGGTCCTGGAAGCTGAAGCTTCCACCTATCAGATTCGAGTGAATAACAGTGGCATTTCCCCTAGCTCATCAGAAAATATGAGAGCAACATGAAAAACTGCTGGTGTAAGAAAAATAAAATTAGATCACATGGAGTCAGACCATGGGGGCAGTAAGATACAACTTGGGTTCAGATAAAATGGAAAAATGACATTTTGGGGAATGGTCATGCTCTTCTCAGAATATAAAATCCTGTGAAAAGAAATATCTTGGCTTATATTATTTTACTGATGTCAGGGATTTCTAATTAAAAGAAAGGACTTGCCATGCAGGATGCTTCAGAAATAACCAGGCATTTTGTGTACTTATATATGTGAATGAAAAGCTCTTTCCAGTTTATATAAAGTAGCTATTGATTAAATATTTAAGGACTAACCTTTAAAAATAAATGTGAAAAACAATAACATGATCGATAATTATAACAGTTTTAAYCTAAGTAATATATAAATAAGATGGAAACTAGGTATCACTCCTGAAAACAGATCWGTAGAGAAGAGCCCTGGCATCTATACAGGTTCAATGACTTCTGTCAACACCATCAGGCCCCAGGATCTGCTGTAAAAGAATAGAATGCAGACATTTTACCCTTTTTTTTTTCATAAATCAGCACAGTAGAATAAAGTTGTAGCATGAAAAAACAATGCTGTCCCTATGAACTAAATTAAAGAGACAAAATAAAGTTTGGCTTTTTCTCCATCTAGCTTCTGTAATTCTGTAGGAGCATCTAAATAGCTAAAACTCCTTGATCCTCACATAGCCAATAAAGCAGCCAAGGATAAGGAAAATAAATCAAAATAGTTTTTATGATGCTTGGGAGAAATGGTAAGTAATTTGAATTTTCATTTTGCTGAAACAGTCATACTGTACTTATCTTCATTATGTAATATTACAYTAAAAGGAGTAACAATAACATATTGAAAGTCTTACCTTTCCAACTGTATGAAAAAAAATAAAGAAAATTCGGTTAAAGAAGTAAGGTTGAAAAGTCAGATAATATAAATGTTAGTCCTTTGATATTATTAAGCCCTTCTGGATATTACTTTGAAAGTCTGGTAAAAGTTGTTTAGGTACAATACAGCTCCAGTCTGGCGCTGCCCAAACAGATGTGARTATTACTGGCTCACTACCAGAGCTGTGCTCCAATGATTTGAGCCATTTTAAAAGTTACAGAAAAACCTTTCATCTGGAAACCAAGTTCTGTTGTGCTGGCTCTTGTTCTAGTAGTGATGAATGAATTGATGAATTTATCTTTATAGATTATATGTAAGCTATTTATAGATTGTGTGTTCATATAGCAAACATGGTAGGAATCTAAGAGCTTGCAGTGAAGTTTGCTCAAGGATCATTTCTCCAAATGTAACTATCACACCTGAAAGGTGTGAGAATTTATACCAGTGAGAATTTATACAGCAGCATGCCCATTGCTCAGCAAGCAGCTCCTCAGCAGTGGTATTTCCATCATCCAGGTGGATGGATGGTTTCGTGCTTCTTGAAGTGTAAGGCTGAGACTGAAGAGCAGAAGCCCAGGGCTGGAAAAAAGACAATGCTGTGTGGTGTCACTGTCTTTTCCCTCGCCAGTGATCCCATCTCTCTTTGGGAGCTAAGCTGTAGCACAGAGAATAACTTCTCCCTCAGCAGGTCCAGTTCTAGTCCATAAGAATAACAGTCCTGGATGCTGGTCTTTGCCAGGCGTAGCTGCAAGCATTCCTGTCTACTTAGGCAGGAAAATGCCAARCCAACTACTTTGAATGATGCTGACATAACTTGGGCT